AGCATGCTTGGTCCAAGTACAACATGTTACACTCATGAAATGTGCTTGTGCTATTGAGTTTGTATTTTTTTTTCATAATAACCTAATAAGTTGTTCGTTTTCTCATTTTAGTTACTTTTATGGTAATAAATTGTTGTTGTTCTTTGTTACTAAGCACAAAGCTACACAAAGGGCTATCTGTGCTCTGCTCACCATGGGTATGGAATATTACTGGGGGGCATAATAAATACATAATATAAATAGAAAACAAGAAATTTAGTATCAAACATACTGTTGGTGTGAACATGCTTTATATTAACTAGAAATACCTATACACTGTTTAGGTGAAGTGAAGAAAAAGTGTCACTGGCCACTATTCAGTTCTTCACATTATATAGCTGCACAATAGCAGATATAATAAATAAACTTAGTATTCCGAAAATTTTTTAATTTTGAAGTCTAAGTTTACTTAATATTTATTAAGAAATTTAGTACTTAAGTGCAGGTCTTGTAGTTTTTGCTTTTAAAGTTTAAAGTCTTGATGAAAGTTAAACCTTTTTTTTGGGGGGGTATTGTTAGTACTATTTTATTTATCTGAAATATGCAACTTAGAACACAAAATATTAATGTGCAACAAAGAAAAAACAAAATCCTAAAATTATTATAATCTAACTGACTTTTATCTAAGCTATAAGTGTGTTGAAATAATTTCCTTACTTTTTTCGAGGCAATCTTGGTGATAGCAAATGATAAAATTGATGCAGAATAACTCAAAACTGATCATGAGAATAGGCTTACCTTATAAGGAACACAGTAAATTTAAATGTTCTCTTTCTATTGGTTATAAATAATCCAATAGAAAAGTTAAAAAGACTTATTCATGTTTTTTTAAATACAGCATATTCTAGGAGGGGCATGGCAAGCAAGTTTAGTTTATCACACATTACTCATTAAAGCAAGCAGATGTTATAGATTTTCATTTTAGCTTGGAGATATCTAATGCAAGTGTGTACATTGTGGGAAATTTTGAAAATAATATAGGGGTGGAAATAAATTCTAAAATGAGCAATTTGGAGCAAAGAAGTGTTACATGATGCATAAAAGTGAACATTAAAAATTTATTTAAATATCGTTGTTTGAAATGAAGAAATTAAAACTTGTATAACATTAAAATTTGAATTATAAACTACACTTTTATACCAAGTTTATTTGCATACATTTTCAATAAAGTAGGTTAACCAAATTTTGAATACAACATTGTAAGAAATGTCATGATATGCACACTTTTGACCTACCCGTAACTAGAGGATTAAGTTAATTAATAATTTTACTGTCACTTGTACAACTATACTTTATTTAAAATATACAATACCAGCAGAATAATACAAACCTGGGGTGAACTTGAGCAAACTGGACATCAGTTGACCATTAAAACCACCAAAAACATACATAGACCTGGTAAAACAAACAAAAGAAAACTATCCTTATCATGGGTGATAAATAAACAACAATAACATAACAAAAAATTGGTTAAACCATGTTGATATCTTATATCCATTTTTTTCCTGCACTAGCTTATGACCTCCTTTAAGCATTAGGGTGGCAACATCTGTTCAGGATTAAAAGCTAGCTCCAGTGAAAAAATACAAGACAAAAGATGTCAACATGATTTATACCTTAAAAGTTACAGAAATCTGTAAACCTGTTTATTACATTAGTTTTTAATTGTTTCTATCGACAGTATGTAATAAATGTCTCCCTTCCATCACTTATGTACTTTAAACAAACTACCAACATAAAATAATCATTGTGCATAATGCCATTTCATATTTGTATCTAATGTGGATTATCTTAATATCAACATAAATTTGTACAAAAAAAAAGTTTGCAGTTCAACATGAAACAAGTTGAATACTACAAGGATTTCAGCTACTGCACATATCTGAATACTAAAACTTGATAACAAGGAACCCACTTTTTAGAAAGTACAGGTTTTGAGATGGCTTGACTGGGTAAGGAAATTATTATAAATGTACAATGTTTCGACATTGCTTCACAGTCTAATATAGGTATCTCGGTACTACGTGCAGTGTTGATTTAAGATGGGAACTGTTTTCTTCAATTAAGATAGCCCCACCTTATATCAATACCCCGGGGTACCAAGATACCTATACTACACTGTGAAGCAATATATAGCCACGTGACCTCTTTGTTCTATACCGTATATACTGTATATATACTCATGTATCTCTGTAAACTACTTGTACCTGAGGATGAAAAAATCATGTTGAAACATTGTACATTTATAATAGTTTTTTCATTACCTAGTCAAACTGTTTCGAAGCTTTTAAACTTTTATATCTGAATATATAAATAACACATGCCATACATGTATCTGACCAGCTTACCCATCATATGTTACTGCAGTGTGACCAAAACGTTCAAGGTCTGGAACAAATGCAGCCTGTGACTTCAAAATATGCCAAGTATCACAGCCTGTTATAAAAACAAACAAACTACATATTCAAATGATAATTCTTAATTTGATAGTTTACTCTTGCACAAGCACCCACATTAATAAGCCTCATAACATTAGTAAATTATTACTATCGTTTAAATCTAACTCAATAACATCATGACTTTTGGCCAAATTTAAGCCTTTACATATTGGTATATGTAGAATGTATTAAAAGCTAATTTGAATAACAAATGTAAGAAACAGTAAAAGAGAAAATCACTTTATATGACTAAAAGAATCCTAAATCTTAAGTTAAATAACTATGAAACTGACACATAAAAAATTAGTAATGTAGCTTCCTAACTGCTTTCCTACAGCTAGAGGCAGTTGAAAATGTTATTAAACTGTTGACCTCAAGTGAAAAATGTAGTTTCTGTATTATTACATTAAATATACCCAAGTATTTCTCACTTCAAAAACAATAATTTAAGTTAAAATCACAATAATATAAAGAATTAACTGTTATGACTATTTCATGCTTGACATATTTAACTCTGTTTGTTTTTTATTGCATTTAAAAAAATCTAATGGAGAAAATAGTTTGAAACCTGAAACAAACTTTCTATAGATTATGTAGCTTCTGCAAAATATCTTATTTTCATGTGATATTTGTATAAGTTTGTAGCTTTAAAAGTTCAAAAAATAATTCAAAACGATATGACTGAACAATTGAAATGATTTAATGTCTTCCTAGATTTTTGTAAAAATGTTTAATGTATTTTATTTTAAAAACTGTAAATTTTGTTTATTTAAAGAACACCATGGGCAGTTTCACCATATTTATAATCATTGGTGTACAATAAAAATAACTTTTTATCATAGCACAATTATCAGCAAGCCAATGTCTTTTTAATTGTTAATAAAAAGTTTTCATTTAATATATGTAATAAGTTTTGAACCCATTTTAAATTCATTTAAATTGTTTTTTACATTTCTTTTATTGATTTTCTTTACCCATTTAAGCAGTTACTTATGCTAAAAAGGTCTAATCATAAACTATCTAACAACAGCAGTCTTGTCAGCAAAATGAAACTTGATACAATTCAGTGTAAATTGATCTAACTAAACCTATCTTGTTCCTCCCAAAAATAATTTTCCTATTAAACTATGATATCATTATTAAAATAAGTATAAAAATCTAAAAGTAAGTTTTTTGCAAGGTTTTCAAAGAAATCAGGACTGTAATTGTGACAAAAGTTTTTCTAGAAACAAACTGCCATGCCAAGCTTTTATTACTTTGTTCTGATTTACAAAGAAAGACTTCTCAATATATGTTTAACTATGATCCTATGAATTCTCAAGACTGAGATGCAGGTAATTACCTCATACCATGATAACTGATGTTGAGAAACAGTCATTGGCTAAAATCAATGAAACTACACTTGTATTGAAGTTACATAGTTCAAATTGACACTAGTTTATTCACATCTATTTTGATATTCTAGGGACCTATTAGTGCTGTATTAGTATCAGTAAAAACATTCAATAAATTCACAAATACTAATGTTTAACAATGGAGCACACTGAAGTCAATGAAAAATCAAAATGTATGATTATTAAAATAATTTGTGCATAATATTAAAAAAGTAAAACTTTTACTGAGCAATCATGTACTCCTCCAAACATTTATTGTTAAAGTACATGATTATTTTCTATAATGCTTTTAATTCAATGGTGCAATTTTACCCTCGTAGCGGGTTGGATCCAAACGGGTGTCAAAGATTAAAAACAATTAATCATAATCCATCCTCGATTAATCATGAATTAATATAGCTTAGATTACATACATTTGTTAAGCTTATTAACACTAACTAAACTGCATTAAGCATGACCTATTAACAACAACACAGATCAGAGGAGCATTAAAACATAAACTTACAATACACACACACAGAGGTTGGCAACTATAATTATTATTTTTGTGTACGATAACCCACAGATTTATACTTTGATTTAATTAAATCATCATTCAACAAAAGTTTATTTTCAATAATAAGCCTAGATATACCTATTTGTTGCATGTTGTGGCTGAATCATTTCAGTATGATTACTTAGTTTTAATCTATAATTTTTGTATTGTCAGGCATGACAACAAGTCTAAGTTTTATTTGTAAATGTGTTTTTCATTCTTTCTATTTTTTAATGAAACCAACTGGAATTTGTAACATGCGAGGATAAAAGTAAAAACGTCTTTAAAAAAGTGAATATCAAAGCACTGATGTCATTAAAGACAATATTTATGAAATTAAATGTTAACCCAATAAAATAACAGATTAATTTTAACTAATATTTCTGAAACCAAGGAAGTGCATCTCAATATACCTGATTAATGACTCAAATCACAAATGTTACAAATAACAGATGTAACTCAACAATATTATACTACTAAATGCTTACTGTATTACTTCTTTTCTATAGCCACAACATATTGACTTTCATTACTTACTCGTTCATCCTCACATTGGTATTTTCAGATTGACTTGTGAAGTTGAGAAGTATTTAGAACAGTAAATAATCTGACTTTCAAACTTTTCTAAAGAACTCAAACGTTTGAATTAATTTCTAATATCACAGGTTTGGCTGCCTCCCTTAAAATGTCTACAGTAATGAACTTGTACAACAACAGCTGATGATACACAGCATTTCTGATATTTTATTTTTGGTTAAATAAACTTTACTTCATGTATCTGTTTTATATAATTACAATTACTTTTATTTATTCTGGAAAATCTTTTTCTACATCTCTAAACTACAGTTTTAATTTGTTTTCATAGAGTGTATATCATTTTTCAGTTGTGGTAACTGAGAAGCTGGATTATATATATATATATATATATATATATATATATATGTGTTTGCCAAACAATAGATTAACCGTACAAATATGGTCTGGGTGAAATCCACCCAGCTCGTAACCATGAAAGTATCCAAGAGAGTACTTATACAATAATTTTTTTATAATGTACACAAGTCTTTACAAAATTTTCATACACAAAATATCAGGTTTTTAGATTAAGTATTAAGATTTTTTTATTAAAGATTTACTCAAGAATTTTTCCTTTAAGAATGTTTACTATCCAACGTGCAAAGTAATTTTGATTTTACTGTTAATCTCTATATCCTTCTATGTAATCATCAAAAGTTTTTTTGAATAAAACTTTATATTTAATCTGTTATTTTATCAATGCTAATTCTATGTGGTGTTGGTCGATTTGACTGACATCATAAAAATTGGGAAATAAATCTAAATTAAATTTTTGTTGTTTTAGAATAACTATAAATTGTAACAGGAAACCAAAAATGTTTATTCTAAATGGCTTCAATTTCGTAACACTATACATCTAGTTATTGTTATTAATTTTTGTTGCATTGACCTTTGAACCATGTCTGATTAAAAACACCCCAACACAAGTTGAAAATTACACAGTACATGTTACCATATCAAATAACATAACACACAAGCTGCTGGCACATATACCCCATGAGATTTTTATTAATTTTCTTTCATTATCTCACCTAACAAATTTTTATTTTTTTACATTTTAGTTACTTTTATAATAATAAATAGTGAAAACAAAGGAAAAAAACCAAACAAAACCATAATTAAATATCAAACATTCTTATTTTCAGTAAAGCTTTATATTTCATCTGTTATTTTCTTTACTGTAATATTATACTTAATTCTCCAGGTTGTAGGTAAGTAATCAAAATATAATGAAAATAAAGGTTGCAAATGCAAAATAAAATGTATAGTATTGTACTTATGATAAGAGTTTACACTTCTCACACTTATTTTCTGTAGTTATTTTATTGCTAGCAGATGGCTTAGAGACCAGAAGAAACAAAATGAATAGTATTGTCTGTCCTTTTCAGTATAGACAATGACGTTCCAAAGTAAATCACCTGAGAGTTTCTTCTAATCTTTTTTACACCTATTTCCTATGTTTATTCTACTGAAACCTGAAGTAGAAACCTGTTGAATATAAAGCAATGAATCACTGTTCCTGTTTAGGTGTTACCATACTTTCACACCGTCAATATCGTATAAGCTTTTTGCAGCACAATTCCCTGAACTTTCCCTTTGAAAACACAGTAGGGTAGGATTTATCAATTTGTTGACAGAATAATGGTTACAACAAAAACTGTTTAAAGTATTATAAAGTGTTTAAGCTATGGCTTTGCAGAAAGTCCAGGCCAATCCAATAAACTTGGTAGGTATTTGAATATTGGTTAATATGCAGATGTTTCCTACAGTCTATTCAAATCCCATTTATTTTTTTACAGTGGTAATGCAGATAGTGTTATTGATTAGAATTAAAAGAAATGAATATTTAAATGTTTTTTTTTTATTTTGCCCTGTTAAGGAAAAATAAAAATTTTAAAACTCATGAAAAAATAAGGAGATGAAAGACAACTAAACATATTCTTCCAAGTCCATGCAAGATGCTAATTGCAACAATAGTTTATAGTATATTCCATACTATAATAACATTCTATATATCTAATTATCTCATTACTTTTAGATTCATTTCTGATATCTATTGACAGGCATCAAACTCATAAGGTTTCAAATCTAGTACATATTACACACTCAGAAACAATATCTGTCAACAATGTTTATTAGCCATCTATTAGTTATAATACTGACCAATATCATAAGCTAAAAAGTCTGCAGAATAGCACTTGTCTCCAGCATTGAAAACTGAGTCATTATGGGTGCTCCCACCATAAATAAGAAGCATGCCCTGAAGAACAGCTGCACTATGAAGGTAACGATAAGATCCACTAGGAGACAGAATTGTCCTATGTCCAAAGAAGTCAACATTAAGATTCAGATGCACAAAGAACTACAATATTATCTAGCAAAATACTCCAGTACTTGTGATTATTTTTACTCATATACTTATTAATTGGAAATTTTGTATTTGTACCAGTTCACAGTCATCTTATACTAAATTCTTTGGCAAGAAAGTCTTAACTTTCACAATAAAAGCCTTAATGCACAGCGAGGAACTTATGTACATAATATATCTTATAAAATGAAACGTCTTTGGCCATTGTAGTTAACACACCAAAGAAAATGTCAACTTCATCCATTTTTGACCATATTTAGAGTACTAGACTGCAGAGGCCTGGTACATATGTACTATGTGATACAAAACATATTTTTTTGTGAATTATAAATTATTTTATTGTGTGTACAATAGTATAATTATATGATTTTGGTGTGGTTAGGCATTTTTGCATTGTTATTGTTTCAGGTTAATACAACAAAAAATACAATAAATCTTTGAGAGTTAAATTTGCACATTACTGCTTTTAAAATGTTTGCAATATAGTTCTGGTTGAACTAAGTTGAAACACATAATAACAATTATAAATTAGGCTTACAAAAGTTACAGAGAACACAATAAAATTAATATTTGAATTCTGATTAAGAAGTTAGCATACAGGATCACACACAAAAGTTGTAATGGTTTTCAAGCGAGACCCAAAGGTTGAAAGCTTTTGAATACTTTACTATTCTTCTGAAGAATAGTGAATTATTTGAAAGTGCTTGAACTTTAAAACCATTAAAACTTTAATATTTGAAAAGCTTCAGACATATTAATGAAGTTTAAAAAAATAGTACACCTTTCTAGCATCTTATTTCTTTGAACTATTGTTGATAATCACAAAAGTTTTTTGTGATACACTGAATGATGAATCTAAAATGTTCATTCCACAGTTTGCTAAGCTTAAACATTGTGAAATGTAAAATGTGCAAACTTCATCGAGGACTTACCAAGACTGGTGGAAGGGATGGTAAGCATATAACACATCAACTACTTCACCCCATTCACCTTGGGAATGATATCCTCCATGTACATAAATAAACTGAGTAGCCTCATCATAAACACTGGTGTGTCCGTATCCACCTTTCACAATGGCTCCATTTGTTTGCACTGTTTTCCAACTGTTCCACACTAAAGGAAATAACACAAGTCATTCTCCACTTGTACTACAATAATAGGAATACTACTGTTATTAATAATACTACTTCAATAATAGGAAGCAAAAATAGGAACCTTGAAATTTGTATCATGCTGAACTGTTGTTGTGATTACAATATCTATTAGAGTTTTTATCATTTCTGTATCCTATAAATGGTTCTATTTAATTTGACTGAAAGTTTTTCTTTTATATTTCTCACATATATATATATATATATATATATATATATATATATATATAGTAGTTAGTAGTTTAGTT